GGTTTTGCACACACAAACATATACTGTTTCTCTTGCATTGGTCACTAATATCATTAGGTAAACCTAACCACAGAAATCCAGAGTCCTTCTGTTAATAAAGTCACATGAAGCAAAATCCTGTAATATAGCACATATTCTACACTAAACAAATTGGCAGCAGCTGCTGTTATGCATCGTGAGCAATTCTATGATAAAACAAATAGATCCGCTTTGGCCCTACCATAAAATTAATCAATAATAATATCTGAGCTAATGAAACAGCCACTTGTAAAAATCAGTGTTGCCCATCAGCTTTTATAAAACATGATTAATTTCTATGCATTAAACTGTATTACTGAGGAGGGAAATCATTAAGCATCTTTCAGCTACCCCTTGTCGATTGTAATAAGAAAATAATTGTTGTTTTTGAAGCTGCTCCACTCCAAGAAATGTTTTAAAATCTAATTGCTGGGATGGGGGAGGAATATTCAAATCACTCATAAACCCCTTCCTTTGCATGTTACTGCTATTCTTCTCACTGGCAACTGGAGTCTTTATAAACAGCCGAAATCGAGTCTTTGCTAAAAGAAAGTTACATACAATCCCAAATACCTTGCTTGATGGATAGCAGAATTCACAGGCATTCAGTTTTACATTCACTGCAGTTGACGCAAATGATATCCCAGTAAAGGAAAAGGGTAAGAGCGCTGGTCTAGCACTGTCAAGCCCATAGAGGAAGGATGTCAGCAAGTAATGCTCCACGGCTAGCTCAGAATTATTAAAAAAGAGGTCGAGGAAGATGGAAACAACAAAGATTTTGGCTTTGTGACTCCTCTTTTCTAACCTGGAAAACCGGGCAGTCAGAAAGACTCAAGGATTTGAAATTATTTTTCCCTATTTGAAACCTAAACAGAACTTGTATATGCTGAGCCTGAGCTGAAGAGACAATGAATTAGTCCTTCCACGTGCAATTGCCAAAGAAAATCTGCCAAATGCTGGATAAGATAACCTGCTTCTTTTTTATTGCTACTATCTGGTTTCCAATAAAATCCTTCCCTCAAGGCATGGTAGAGGATCCAGCGAAGACTGTGGATAGTGGCTGGAGAGCTGCAATGTTCAGTGCCTCGTTATTCAGAATGGCCAGAGGCTGGCCCAGGACTGAGCCAAGTGGTAGCTACTTGAGCTGGGCTGACTCAGAGAGATGCGGGAAGCAATGTAATTCCACCTGAGACACAAAGTTCCACAACACTTCAGTCTACACTATTTTGCAGCAAAGATATTCCAAGATCCTTACAGTGATTGCTATATATTTTCATCCCCAATTTAGGCATGGGAAAACAAGAGCAGAGAGGTTACACGAGTTTGTCAAGAAATGGTTCCCAGTGGTAGAACAGGAGAAGACATCACAGGTGAAATCTTCATCTTGCCAAAATCCATGAGTTTTGCTACTATCTTCACCAGACTCGTGCTTTCACAAGACACTCTTCCCATTTTCACACTTTTTCTCAGCTATTTATGCCTTCCATCTTAAAAGTTACAAAACAACAGCAGAACCTAAATTTAATCTCTGAAAATTAAATCATGAATTAATCTCATAAAAAAATGGGAGTGGGATTATCACTAGCCTCAAGTATCCTAGGTGTTCGTTTAAAGACAAAAGATAGTAGGAAACATTATTTTTAACTATGAACATTGAGACACTTAGTATGTATGTGCAACTCGTAGAAGAAATCAACATATCTTTCCCTGGAAGGCTATTATAGAAGTTTAGCAGCTGAGAGGGCGAGTTGGGTGTTCCTCACTAGGACAGACGTATGTGAACACAGATGAATGGTTTCAGTGAGTAATGCCCGGCTCCAGGAATATCTGCCTTCTAAGGTGCACCTTGCTTTTCTTATTTGGGCCCCTCATACCTATTGGCTCCCAGGTAGAGCAGGTGGTTAGGAGGTATTCATCTCCTTGTTTGGTTCCAGGCTTAAATTACTAGGAAAAGGCAATGCAACTGTTCAGGATGGTTCAGAAAGTATCACTATCCCTGAATTTTCTGCTTTGCCTTGTTCAGACTAATAAGAAATTTCCTCTCTCTGCGTAAGGCAATTAATTTTAAGATCCATCCCCTTTGAATTAAATTGTTATCACAGAAACTAACCTAATTACATCTTAGTAGGTCAAAGAATGTTCTGGAATGATTTTTTTATTTCTAAGGCCACGTTATTTAAAAAAGCAGATGCAACTACAATCTTACAGCCCTCCTGCTGGAAAGAGTAATAACTGAAAAAGTATAATTTTGCCTCTAGAAGGGCATTTGCACAAATGAAGCACAATCTCCACTGCTTTTAGCTATTTCTATACAACAGAAGGTTGTTTAAAACAAACTGGAAGCGATTTTACTGTCAGGAGGGAATGCATCACCCTTTGGAAAACAAAGAATGAAGTGCACGGAGAACATTATTGTAGCTAGTCTGTTTTTTGTAGGTCAGGTCTTTGTTTTGCAGACAGAGATTTCTCTGCAGAAATGGCTTGTGAACTTTTCAGTGCTGGCAGGTGCACAGTTTTCTCTTTCTATTAAAACATCCAGAAATTTGTGACTTCTGTCCAATACTCAGGGGGTCCTATTTCCAAAGCACCCAGGCAACTATTCTAGTGCAAAATTCACACTTTTGCAGTCAAACTTTCCTCCCCTTGAGTATGTTGTCTTCATCTTCCAATTTAACAGCTTCAGTAACAGATTTTATATTAGCCTTATTTTGGTGGGAAATGTGGAATTGTAATGACATAAATTCTGCTGGTACAACTCCAGTTAACAGTATGACACCACTATGATTTTTTTCTCACGCTATACATTAACAGCTAAAATTGCATTGTTCTAACATTGTTAGCAAAGGAATAGCAATGCAAAAGGTACCACAGAGCAGCAAACAACCAAAATACTGAAGATATATACTGAGCAACACTTGAAGAAATGATCTGATTTCATACACATATGTGAAATGGGTGCCGAATCCTGAACTTATGTAAATCAAATGATATCATTTTACAGTCTAACCCTCACTGAAGCTTCATGTCCAAACACGTAGGCCCTAGACCTCTCTGAGGAAAGCCCATGGCAGGGCAGCTGCAGTATTCTCAGCTGTTCACAGTGCAGCTAATTCTGATCTATACTTTCCTCCAGTTAAATTATCGTGCTAGCAGAGGTGCTGCTTTCCCATATTTGAGATAGCAGCAGGCCAGCAGCTGTGCAGAATTCAATGACCAGCACTCCTACAAATGAATCCTATTCTCTGCAAAATGGAGTCCTCAGATATTTTGTCCTTCTGGCTGCCGCTTAAGCAGAGACAAGCCAAGAATTGGCTTTCTTCCCACTTTTCACTTACCTCATAACCACATCGGTGACTTTCCCTGAGCAGTAAGCCCCTTCACCCATGTGCTATCCCTCTCTCTTTATACCGAACAGCGAGGAGGATGAAGCACCATGTGAAGGAAACCGTTTCCTTCAAATCCCCTCTCCAGGATCAAAGGTAACTTTGGATCTGGGGGAGGAGGCTTGGCGTGACTGCTCTGTGTATTGTCCATATACACATGTAACTTACTGTCCTGCTTAACGACAGTTGTTTTGCACTGTATGACCCACAGGATCTACATATGAAAATATGATAATATTGTATGCATGTATGCAATATATAATTCTCTTTCTTGCGAGACAGTGCTGTACATAGCTAATTATATTCACTCTAAGATTTTGTTTTAGACCAAATACTATAAATGTTTCTCTTCCCTTATGTGGGTCTATAGCACCCAAGCCAAAACATTGATTAAAGTATTGTACAGTAATTAATCTAATACGATGTTTGAGACTATGATTGGTCTCCAATGAATCACAGTTTTCTTTTGCATTTTAAAGACCGCAATCTCAGCTTTATTTTATTCTTGATGGCTTCTTATTTAAACAATGTTTAAGACAAAGCTTAGACTTAAATATCTTGAAGACAATAGATTTTGTTCTACCAGATACTATTTTTCTGTGAGTATTTAACACAATTAGAACTAACAGAGCAGGAATACCAAACTATGGTGTTCATATCATCAATTTCATAGTGATAATCATCATATCTTTTCAAAGCAACAAATATCTAGGGAAGATCCTGGAGCAGTTCTTGATGATACCTACCAGATAGACCACCTAAACGGAAGACCAATACAGAACATAAACACCATTGTCAAAGGTGGCACATGGCAAGCAAAATTAATTCCTTCTCTAGAATACATGCTCAGATACTGTGCAATCATATTTGTTTCAAGTCATAGGTGGTATTGCTCGGCAAACTTCTAGCCCACTATTCATCATTAGAAAAGCAACACTCCTGCTCCCCAAGCCCTTAGTTTGAAATCTACTATAATAAAATACAACTATGCAGGTACCTGAATGATATACATGTGGGTATAGGTATACATATACATACATATACATACTTCCAGCTTGTTCTGAAGCAACTGCATGCTTGTTGTATGCAATGGGACTGACACATCAATGTAGAAGTATGTCTGCGCTTGTTTGAAGAATACACATTACTTCAATACTACTCCATTACCAATAACAAAATCCACACGTGAGAAAGAATATAAATATTACCCTCCATTTTTTATCAGATTTCTGCTGTCAGCTTTATAAGTAAAATAATTCTCCCTTTCCAAATTAAAACTATGTTGGGAATAAGAATCAATAAGATAATTTCATTTTCTTTGCTATATTTCCAAAATACTAGATTAATTGATTTCATGAGAGATGCTTCCAAACTTAGCATTATCACATTTTCAAGGGATCAGAATGGTCACTATCATCTTAACACTATACTGACTTAAGTTAAAATCCTTCTACCACTTTTTACTTTAAGGGGAATGGCCACTATTTACTAGGTTACATAAGAGACAAAGTATGGTTATAATTTTCTGTGAACCTTTGTGTAAGACCTTTAATATAAGCCTCCATTTGTGCAAGTCAAGAATATATTGAAAACACTTACCTGGAATCGATAAAAGGTGCCATCATCCTTTAGTGTTAGAACATGGTCTGAGATTGGAAAGAAATAGCCATGCGCTGCCATCAGCGTTCCCAAATGTAGAGCTTCCACTGTTTGAACAAGAAAAGAAAGATAAATTTAAAAAAAATAAATAACATCTCTTAGCAGTTTCGTTTTCTTTTTCAGATTCACCCTATCTTCTGCAGATAACCACCTGACTGTCCGTCAAGGTCCTCTCATTGTGAAAGCACTGTCTTTTTCTATGTAATATAATGATGCAACCAAAATAAACCCTTTACTCTCCCTAACAAATGGCTATTAGATGTCACAGTAGTTCCACGACTTACATCAGCACTAGCAGGTAGCTACCATAATGTTCACTCACTTGTTTTGAAGCTGAAAACAGCTATGATATTTATCCTGATGGTGCATACTGCTTTTCCTCTTTGGAATGGTTTCAGATTACATGATGTTAAAATGGTTGATTCCAATTGCATGATACCTTCCTCACTAGCTTTATCAGAACTACAGTAAAGGATAGAGATTTCCTTAAAAGTTTCTCATTACTAGGAAAATAACAAAGGATCACAGAATCACAGAATGATTGAGGTTGGAAGGGACCTCTGGAGGTCATCTGATCCAACCCCCATGCTCAAGCACAGCCACCTAGAGCCAGTTGCCCAGGACCATGTCCAGATGGCTTTTGAATATCTCCAAAGAGGAAGACTCTGCAATCTCTCTGTGCCAGCGCTTGGTCACCTGCACAGTAAAAAAATGTTTCCCAATGTTCAGAGGGAACCTACCGTGTTTCAGTTTGTGCCCACTGCCTCTTGTCCTGTAACTGGGCACCACTGAAAAGAGCCTGACTCCCTCTGCTTTGCACCTTCCCACCAGGTATTTATACATATAGATGAGATTCCCCCTGACCCTTCTCTTCTCCAGACTGAACAGCATCTTTTCTCATAGCAGAGATGCTCCAGGCCCTTAATCATCTTCATGGCCCTCCGATGTGTGCATGTCTCTCTTGTAGTGAGGAGTCCAGAACTGGACATAAACAGGATGAATTCAATTCACTTTAATGAACAAAACCATAATATGTAATAGTCAAGTTAATATGTGCTCTTGTATTCTCAGTGAATCACTGTCCAGTATCGGTGCCTGAAGTCTCTTGCTCAGTATTGTCATTATTTTGCTGAGAAGAACACAATGTTGTAGGAAGAGAACAGCATTATTTAGAGTTATGCTTTTGTTGCAGCATTTAATCTCTTTACCATATTTCTTTACCAACCTTGCAACTCCAGTACAAATCCCTAAAATAACTGCACAGCCATTTCTGCTGCTAGATTAAAAATTTCCTGGCATAACCTATTAATAACAGTCCACAACCAATGAAGAATCCTGATTTTAAAACATGAGCCTTGGAAAGAACTGAGCTATATGACAAAGCCACCAGTCACAGGAGCTGATGTGAGAGGGGACAATACTGCTCCAGGACAACATCAGGGAGGAGAAAAGGAAAAAGATTGATAAAAAGGCCATATTGGACACACAGGGAGTAAGTGGAAGGTGGGAAGGAGAGGAAAGAAAAGACAAAGAGAAGAAAGACAGAAACAGTGAGATCTGCCTAAAAATGAGGGATCTTTGATCTAAATTATTAATTCAGCGTGAATCCAGAAAGTATGCAGAATGATTAAGAATGAATATTTGCACAATGGAAAACACGTTACACCACCACAACATACACAGATTCGTATTCATCCTCTAAAAAGGGCTCATTTGTTCCTATTGCCTGTAATTTGGCTTTCAGCAATGGAAAGCATAAACGTTGCAGCACAGGTCTGTCTTGTCTTGCATTGTTAAAAGACCACTGTGGCATCTGACCAGCAGTCAGAGCATCATCATGCAGAAAGAAATCCGATTCTGGATAACTGCTGTCTTGCTAACAATCACAGAAAGAGGGATTCACTTATGTTTCACCCATTATTATTTTGGATATGAGAAGGAAACAGAGGATTACTAATTCACCCACATTTCATCATCATCTCAGAAAATTCCCTCTTCCACCTTTTTGCTTGCCTGGAGACATTCATTGGTATGGAGATACAGGATGTGGAGTGGGATATTATTAAGCTAACCCAAAGCCAACAAGCATGTGAAAGGAACAAGAAAGGGAATCTGGACAGTACTTAACTGAGAGTACATAACCCTACCAGGGTTTATTTGTTACCCAATAATCCTTGTGATCTCTATGTTTAGCAAACTGGTTCCTGCCCCTCCAGCAGAGCCATTATCTAAGAAAATCTAATACACCCTCTCTGGCTGTGAGCTCTCTGGCTTGCTATAAAAACACCACAATCCTGTTAATAAGCCTTCTCCCCATTGCAAGCCTACAAGAAATCTCCCTAACAGAAACAAGGTAGTTGCTTCTCTCATGGTGCTTGAGATGTCTTCAAATCCACATCTGAACTTTATCCTAATCAATGTAAGTCCATATATTGTTGCTATTATTTCAAACCACCAAATACTATTATCTCTTGGATTAAAAATTTTGAGTCAATGCTTTCTGTAGTGAGTTAGTTCCTGAGGTTCTTTTCATTTTGGTTCATTTTGTCTACCTTTTAATTTTATTAAGCTTTTCTTTGTTCTTCACACTGCAACTTATTGCCAATTCCAAAAACTATTTTTTTTTTTTTTTGCAGGTATTATGTATCTTCGTGGAATGAGAGAAAAACAAAGGAAGAAATGTGCTGACATTTTTAGAGAAAGGATTTCTTAGATAAGGGTGACAGGGCTTGCCTGACGCAGACGCAAGTGCATTCTCTTCAGATTTAGCAGAAAATAAATAGGCTCCAGACTTGGTTCATGTTCTTCCTGGATTCTGAATTGTAATATTTTTCAAAAGCACAAAAAGCTTACATTATTCCCCTTTACCCAGCAATCTTTAGACCATGTCTGGACTACTATGTCCAGCTGGGAATAACATGTCCACGCCAACACAAGAAAGACATGAACAAACTCGAGTGTGTCTAGCGCAGGGTCACCAAGATGGTTGGGGCTGGAGCACTTCCCTTTTGAGGAGAGGCTGGGGGAGCTGGGCTTGCTCAGACTGAAAAAGAGAAGGTTTTGGGGGTGCCTAGCAGCACTCTTCCAATGCATAAAAGGAGATTACCTAATGACAGAGCTAAGATTAAGATTTTTTGTGGAGTTGCATGGCAATTAAAAATAAAATTAAAAAAAAAAGAGAGAGACGATGGTAATAAAAACGAAACCAAGGATGGTTTTCACTTTTTCACTTCAGCCAAGCATCAGAAGAGGCTGCCCAGAGAGGCTGTGCAGTCTGCATCCCTGAAGGGTTTCAAGATCTGAACAGATAAATTCCTGGACAACATGCTTGACCTTACAGTTGACCCTGTGTTGAGCAAGAGGTTGGACTGGAGTCCTCCTGAAGTCCTTCTCAACCTGAATTATATTACATCTCTGTAAGTGCATCAAGCAGAATTGGAACAAGTTGCAGAAAACAGGGATGGAGACAATATGAGAAGAAATGACTTGAAAGCTCCTGCCAGAACAGCCTATAATCCTGGCAAGGAGTAAGAGTTAGTTCTCTCACTGACTACTGAGTCATATATGCAAGTATATAATCACTACTAGTTCTCCATGCAAAAAATGGAAAGAGAGACTACGCCTTCTCCAGAAGCCAATTGAGTTTATTTAAGATCTGAATCATTCCCATTAGGAGCCTATATCTCTTCTTCAGTTATGTATGGAGACTAAGGTGGCCTTATGCTCACCTCAGGATATCTCATTCAGCTGGGACGAAACTACACTAACTCAATGTTAAGGTATCTCTCTGTCCCTTTAGCCATTAAGAGTTAATAGGGACACATAAACTTGTCACATCGCTTCTTTTTTCCTTCACCTAATAGACAACTAATTTTCATTTTCTATGGCTATCAATCCAGCAATTTATTCCAGCATTGCATAAATATAAATGCACAAATATCCATTTTTAAGAACAACAGAAGATCCACTGTAGCTCACACTTGGGAACGTGAGCAATATCTGCTTTATTCAAAGGAAAACAAACAAAAGGAAAAAAATGCGTCTCGTATAAGACTGAAGACATTCACTTAAAAGTCTAACATCTCCATTGGTATCATCTGACAATGGGGTAACTGCATAAACAAAGAATTATCAACAATATTTGCAGAAAGAGTGAATAAGCTATAAATCAAATATGGGTTGAACAGGTGAAGAACATCCACAAAATTGTAACTGGTGAATAATGTCCACAAAATTGTGACCCTGCCTCACACCAGACTGGCAGAGAACTGTTCTCTGCATAGCAGCAGTAGATCTTCTGCACAGAAAGAAAACTTAGCTCTCAGGAGGTTTCTCATCTCCAAGCAGGAAGTTGTCCTGTGTATTACAGACACAACAAAGGCAACACTTTGACATACATCTCAATTTGCTAAAATCAGACTAAAAAATAAATACTGTAAGAAGCCAATGAATTAGAACAGTAGGATTTAGGAAACGAAACCATGAGCCTGAAAAGGAAAACGTAACCAGCAGCAGACTAGTCCTACAGGCCTAAATGCCTAGAAGTTCAGTTCAGACAGCTTCTGAATTCTCCAGCTATTCCTGCATGTGAAGTTAGAGGATTTTCACTTAAATAAGTACTTTTCATCTGGAAGAATGGCAGATGGAGATTAGGAACATCAAAAACTTCTATGAAGTGCATTAGTTAAAAAACAAACAAACAAACAAACAAAAAACAAAAAAGAAGCCTGAAAAATACTTTTCAATATAAAGGTTCCCAGGTAGAAAGAGTAATGTTTATATGTATTCAGAATACAAATTTAACAAATTGGAGGAACATAGACTAAAAGCAAGAAAATACTGGGGTTTTTTAGATGGCAAGTGTACACAGATGCACACAGAAATGCAATATCTACACAGCTATTATTTCACAATCTTCAGCCACTGTGTGTAAGAATATGTAACGTAAACTACATTCTCAGTTACACCCAGATAACCTCACTGAGAAGGCACAATTCAAATCGCCGTCAACTGATATACAATGAATAAAGCCTGGAGCCAGTAGCAT